ATATAACTTGGCAAACCACATAATTTGTACAAACCGTACAAACCTCATCAATCAATCATAATTTTTCATTTTGTTCATTTTTTTGTAATTATGAGAGGCTGATTAATCATTTTTATTGTGGAGTGTGTTAATCATGGATATTATCATCTTCATTATTTTAATTTTAAAGAAATACATGAAACAGTTACATTAAAATTTCATTAAGTATTATATGAAACAATTTCATAACCATATATAAAACAACTTCATCAAAAAAAGTATTATATGAAACAATTTCATAACCATATATGAAACAATTTCATCAAAAAAAGTATTATATGAAACAATTTCACAAGATTAAACAATTTCATGAAAAAATTTCATAAGATTAAACAATGAAATCGATGGATAAGAGTGGTTTGCACGGTTTGTACAACTTGGGTGATTTGCATTTGATCGCTTCTCTATATGTGTGTGTGTGATGGATTTCGGGGCCGTTTAGAGGCGGGATCCATATATACATTATTTGATTAAAGCCTAGCAAAGTGATCATTTATGGAGCAAAGTCTTGAAAAGGGGGAGTTTAAAATAACTAATATTATGGCGTTATAGTAAATCAATTACGTAATTAGTTTTAATTGGAGCTTTTTGTATTATATAGATTGGATATAAGGGAGTAGGTTCGGTGATTTTTAGGCTTCATGGAGTTTAAGGTAAGGATTCCTAACCCTTTTCGTTTATTTGATTTTTTTTACATATTTTATTGCAAACACTAAAGCTCTCGTTTAAGAGTTTAACTCATGACCGTTCCAAATTGTTCGTTACCATATCTTCCGTTCACTCGTATTTGTTCTACGTTATATATATATTTGATTTATTCGAGTTAGTACAAATATGTGTTTCTCCAAAAGATCAATGTTAAATTGTTCGGTGACATTTTAGTATGATTTTTACCTCTAAGTGTACATATGTTGGTAGATGTGATCGGTTACGTACCGTTCGATTTGAGCCTCTTAATTGTTACAACAATTTGTTCATCCAACGTTTTTTTTACATTGCTTATGTTGATCATTCATTCGATGTTGATACGTTTTTGCTCTTACTCTTTAATTGAAACTATATGATGTCACATTCGTTATAAGTTAACTCCAAGTAAGTCGAACTACTGACCACCTATGGGGGTACCATAGGCACGTCATTGTGGCACCGATGGCTTGACACTAACTGTGACAGTATAATCAGTCCACGACGTCTCCTCTTGTGGGAGCTATTTGGTGCAATGGATATTAGATTTAGGAGACGTATGGATCGGCTATAACACATGTGATTCGTTTGTAGGGTGGATATCAGTGTAGTGTCTAACGTCACGTCTCACATTTAGTACGTGTGGATCTGCATTCCAACATACAAGCCTGTGTGGCCATATGTCTGGCACTTGTCCTGATGGTTCATATGCAAGTGTATGCGTTTTTCGAGCTCGATTTGTCCCTTCATATGATTTCGTATGATTATGTTATTTGTTGATTTTACTAAGATTTTGGTACTCGTTTTGTCCGATATCTTGAGATCAGTTTTGCCGTGTTTATGTTACTATTTTATGATAATTGTTTATCTGTTCACAAGGCATTTAGCTCAGCCGTGTTTTTATCTGTTCCTCACGGCAGATAATCAAGGGGGCGACTAAGTCTTGTGACAGAGAGTAGACCAGGATCTTGATTTCAAAGGTTTCAAGAGGTTTAGTGCTTTGCTATTCAATTATTGGAATTATTTCATTGGCTATTAGACTAGCATTTCTTTTAAGGTTATGTTTTGGATTTCATTGAGTCGTTCAAAGGTACTTGAAGTGGTTTGTTTGGAGATGTTTATTTCTTTGTTTAGAAAATATTTAAATTCGTTATTGGAAGATTTTATTTTTGTCTTGGAGTTTATACTTTGGAGGTTTTATATATATACCAGCTCCGTTACGTTTTGAAGCAACCTCCCTTTCTATGGAATAGGGGTGTTACATACACATTAAATGAAACACTGTGATAATCATGTGATACATATTCAATCGTCCCTAATTGATAGCAGACAAACATCAAGCCCTAATTAAATGTCGTCGATAATTAAAAATTGTGATTATCGACCAAAATTTCGTAATCGAACAAACTATGCTAATCGAACGCATATGGTATCAATTTCTCGAGCTGTGATAGACTCGACTGCAATCTCCACTCTGATATTCCTAAACCAATCATATTTCACTGCTTTACATTTATATAGGCTGTGATAACAATGTAATACTACATCAATCATCGAGCCTTAATCGATGACATAAATTTAAATTTTATCATTTCAATTTCCAATTTTACCCTTCCGCATTGTTAGAAGTTATAATTTAAAACAAAATATTTGATTAACATATTGTTATCGCGTGCTCGTAAATCAGATAAGATACTGAAATAATTGTAAATATAAATTTGAAATTATTTGCAAAATAACTGCTCTCAACTTTCACAGCTTCCCATTTTGCATCGTCTTCTTCTTCACTCAACCCACACACCTATCTTCTTCGATTTTCTCCATTCTTTCTTCGCTCTAATCTTCACATATTTCAGATTCCAGGTTTGTTCCTTCTCGATTCCATCTGTAATTAGGGTTTTGTACCTTCCATTTCATTGTTCTATGTAAATTTGGTTCATCTTTTAGTTTTCTTGCATATTTCCTGTAAGTAATCGTCGAAATTAGGGCAACTAGGAATTTCTATTGTTTTCAACTCAATGCGTCAGTTATGGCAGCAAGAAATAAGAATTTGTCCTCTCGACACATTCAATTTTGTTATGCAATTTACCCTTAGTTTCGTTCTTTTATCAGTTCTTTAAACTTCTTTTAAAAGTTAAGGAAGAAGAAATGCGGCGGTTGTAGTAATATTCATATGATTATTAGACGATGCAATGATAGCAAGACGAAAGGTGGAATCATATGCATATGATATGAATGTGCTACCGATCTATTTATGAGACTCGAAAGTCTCCTGCAGCTGTAGAGATCGGTTAGTGAAACAGATCAAGAACTATCTTATATGTATTCAATTAATGACTAAAAGAACTGGTCAAGAGCAACAGTTCTCAAACAATTCAAGAACACATGCGGCAAGTCAACCAATTAGGTGGTTCAGGCCGTTCGGCTGTGAGTGTGAGACCAAATAGTGGTCAGGTTTAGTTGATTTGCAATGTTCCAGGTCATCTTCCTCTGGTTGTGCATGCTTATATGTTTTATTGCTTTCATAATTATTATGAAAATATCATCATCTTTCTTGATTCACACAAGAGCAGATATAGCCTGACCGTTCTCTTTTTCATGCTAACTCTTAACAGGTTCTTGGGAAAAGTGAGAGCAACGACATAAGTGAACATACTCTCGTAGTCTTTGTTGTTGTTGGTTAAAGAATTGTGATATCTCATCTAATCGTTCAGTTGAAAAGGATGCAGAACCAGGATGAGATCCCGCTGGAAGAGGAAATAGAGTCTACAACATTTGACACAGCTTATGAAGCTGATGATTGGTCCAATTACAAGGACTGTGATGTTCTGAAACAACAGTCTGCAATATGGGAAGAGGATGCGGCGAAGTTTCCGTTTGTTGGTGATAAGGTAAAGGGAAAGTTGATGTTTCGAAATCCTTTTTTCCGATTGATAACTGAATCCATTTTTGAGAGATGTGTGTGTTTTATGATTTTGATAAGTATCCTTGGCCCTTTTTCTAGTTCATATTTTTTTGTCACCCCAGAGTGCAATACATGATTAAAAAGAAAACTCTGTTACAAATGCATGCCTATATGAATTGAAGATGTACAGTGTACTCTTCCCAATCCAGTTCCATTGCTTCTTTCCTCTGCTTTATATATGAAAACTTTCTAGGCCACAGCCAAATCCCATCCCTATGTAGAACTTCTGCCTGAATTTTTATTTGTGTTCTTTGCACCCAGTCAAATCTCTCTTTGTTTTAGCAGGAGGTTTATGTTATACATCTAAATGCATATTGTCTGCCATGATATAACTTCATTTAGCGTGCTGCTGTTTTTAGTTTGTTTGGCTTGAGGTTTATTCTCTCTTCAAGAGTTCTCGTCTTCTCACTGATTTGGTTATGCTTCCATTAGACTGTGAACTCTAAGCTGTGGATATCTTTCTAGATCAACATTTATTTTATGTCACTGCAGGAGCCTCTCTCTTCACTAGAAGCTGAATACAAGTCTGGAAGCCCCATTTTACTGGAGAAAATAAAGGTTTGATTTTCCCTCTTTGTGCTTTGTGTTTTCTTTCCCTTTTGAAGTATCTACATGTGACTTTCACATTCTGAAATTTATTCAGGTGCTGCATGAACAATATGCTGCCATCAGACGAACACGTGGAGATGGGAACTGTTTCTTTCGGAGTTTTATGTTCTCTTACCTAGTATGCTGAAAATTCATTTTGCTAACCTTGTCTGAATATCTACACTGCTTGACAAGATATTTGTAGCTAATGTGATGGTTTGTGCTTTGCTTTTGCAAATGTAAGGAGCATATTGTGGAGTCACAAGACGAAGCAGAGGTTGAACGCATTAAAACCAATGTGGAAAAGTGCAGAAGGACACTTCAGAGTTTAGGTTATGCTGACTTTACTTTTGAAGATTTTTTCTCAGTAAGTCCAATTCATCCTTCTAGATGTGGGCTGAACTTCCCTGTAAATGGTCATTCGTGGCACATATGTGGATTAAGTGAGGACTTAGGATAGATGTGGGACCAAAGTATATTCAAATGCAGTCCATATTGGCATCACAACATGCTTTCAATAACGTAAAGATAGTGTGCCATTTGGTTACTGTAGAGACTCCACTCCAATAAGTAGTCTATAGGTTTGCAAAGATGAATAATGAGAAAGATAATTGTCTTTAATATGCATTGCTGCTTACACACACAAACTATGATGTTATAACACAAGTGTAATTTGTTCAGAAATTAAAAAAAATGACAATTTTCTTAGGTTACAATTTACAGGTTGGTGAACAGTAATGACAGTTGGCAGCTTGGTTGTCATACCGAAATGGTCAAGCTGCAACACCCCATGCCCAACATTTCTTATAGTTGTTTATCCACGGCCTATCACTCGAGGCATGTGCAAACAAGTCTAGCTTGGCTTTGCAACCATGTTAGCAATCAGATTAATATAATACTAATTCACCTCTAATCCTCAATAGAAAAAACCTAGCAACCTGTTTATGATCTTGTTTGTAATATAAGCATTGTGTTTGTTGGAACTTCCGTCTGACTGACATTCTATTTCAACCTAGTTTGCATCTGGGAATATTTTCAAACTAGAATATTAGGTTTTAGCAGGCTGTCACTTCATGCCTAATGGTACCAAACAGAAGAACCTTAATGTCTTAATAGGATCCTAGTGTTACAACGAGGACAGAACAAAACTGATTCACCAGATTGGTGGTAGGTAATAAATTTTTTCTTTCCTAAGAAGTTCAAAATGACTGCAATATATAACTGCAGTTCCCTGATACTTGAGTAATAAATTTAGATGGACTCCTTATTTACAAGCTCTTTTTCTCCTTATTACAAGCAAAAGTGAACTCTCATTTTGACAAGCAGATAGAATACAGAAAACATTAAAAACAATGAATATCAATGTTATTGAGTGGAATAGTATAGGCCATATATTACAACACATTACATGTATGGTGGTACTCTCTCTGTCCCAGAATCGAGCAACAATTTCCTTTTCATGCTGTTAGAGCAAACACAAGGCCTTCCTTTTTGGCAAAGATATTCCTAATTTCTCCTTGCCCATTAGTAACCACTTCAAAATATCAATAGCGTTGATTTTGATTCACAAGATTACATGCCATTATTGATAGTATTGGATATATTTGACTAATAGTCAAGCACTTTACTCATACTATGCGCTAAACCAAAGTTTGCAAATATTTTGCGTGAAGAAAATATAAATAATGCACATTTAAGTTTAAGCTTGATCTTGTTTTTTCTTTTACTTGTTCATAATAATCTATACCGTGGCCATTGAGGAAAAGGATTTCCTATGTTGCTTCCCCTTGTCTCTCAGTCACTGCTTACTAGATTTTTGCATCCTTCTTCTTTGTTTGAATTCCAAACAATCTAAGTTCAAAATATAATGTTTATCACTCAGTGGTAAAATATGTATCAGTAGACTTCTGCATTAGTTATAGACACTGTATGAAGAGAATACATGCTTATCATCTCCCTTATTGAGGCACAAATGTGACTTAATGGAGAACTATTTTCAAAGCAAAGGAGGAAAATAATTGGAAAGAATGGTGGTATGATAAAGCTTGTAGAATTTGTAGTCATGCTATTGTTGCAAGAGAGAGACTGATATGCTCTACCACCAATCCATTTCTGGGATATGTCCTTAATTTAAGTAGTTTGCTCAAAACTGTTGCAAAGCTTCTAAACTATTGTTACTATATATATACACACACACCCACACCCCATATATAGGGGGTGGTTCATGTGAGAACCCCAAAAAATTTGAGAACCAGATTGATGCATATTCACTAATAAAGTTTAGAGCGTAAATGCATCAATTCATATATACTTGCATAGATAGTAGATATTTATCGATGAATATATTCATTGATGGAATACATTTTTTGATGGTATATATGCATCAATGAATATACAAGTTCTTTGGCTCTCAGATTTTTTTTGGCTCTCACATAAACCTGATATATATATATATATATGTATACATATATATATACCTCTTTATAGATATTTCTTTCAGAAAGTTCAGGATAGTAGTTGAGAAAAGGTTTTCTTTTTTTCTTATGCTTTCATCTTCTAAAATTTTGAAACATGTGAGCCTTGGTGATTTCAGCCAGTTGTTTTTTTTTCTGTTGTATATTCTTTGTTCTTCTACCTCTACTTTGTAATTTTAGAACTTGTGTCGAACAGTTGTTTGTCGAGCAGCTGGAAAGTGTTCTTCAAGGGAATGAAGATTCTATAAGGTTTGGAGAATGAATTGCTTTCAGAATTCCAACTTCTGTTAAAGAAAAACAAACTGAATTGCCTATCGTCTGAATATAGTAGGTGTAGGTTGAAGTGTATTTGATGGCCTGATGTCATTTTTTTTTTGTTTCAAGTCATGATGAACTCATAATGAGAAGCCGCGATCAGTCAGTATCCGATTATGGTGAGTATTGCACTTCAAAAAGAAGTTATACCTATCGTATGTATTAGTCACCAATCACATATAATGAGTGGATCACATATCTTCTAACTGAAGTTACTTTGCAGTCGTGATGTTTTTCAGATTCGTTACCTCTGGGGAAATAAGGAAGCGCTCGGAATTCTTTGAACCATTCATTCTAGGATTGACAAATACAACTGTAGAGCAGGTCTTTACTCAAACTTTTTGGGCTAATTCTCTTTCTTTCACATGCTGCTGGGGTTTTCACAGAAAAAACCGCTCTACTCTTTGGGTCATAGGTCAGGCCTACTTACAATTTATCCCCTAGACCTCACCTCAAGTGGGACATACCGGGTTGGTTTGGTTTAACTGTAGACTTTTCCTCAAAACTTTTTGGGCTAAGTTTCTCTCTTTCAAAACTTTTCACATGTCGGGGATTCACCGAAACTACCATTCAACTCTTTGGGTAGAGGATGGGTCTGCTTAGATTGCGGACCCCACCACCCGTTGGTGGATATACTGAGTTGGTTTGGTTTGGTTCAACTGTAGAGTAGGTTTGTTTGACACCAAGACTTACAATTGACTCGACTCTCTTCTTGCCCTCGGTTTGTTACTTTTTTTGTGCATCATTTTTGTTATCAAATTACTTTTTACATACGTAGTTTTGCAAGACGTCAGTGGAACCCATGGGTGAAGAGAGCGACCACGTTCACATTACGGCCTTGTCTGATGCATTGGGTGTACCTATTCGTGTCGTGTATCTTGATCGTAGCTCATGTGATACGGGGAGTGTCAGTGTGAATCATCATGATTTCATTCCAGGCTTGGGTGATACCTCTAAAGCTTCAACTAGTAGCAGTGGCCCTGAAAAGGACCCGTTCATCGTCTTGTTATATCGACCTGGTCACTATGACATACTGTACAGAAAGTGAAAATGTCAAGTGTTGGGTAAGCTATAATCCTTCATATTGTGTTTGGGGATCGGATTTTTGGAGCTGCAACTAATAACGAAGTTATTATTGTAGGTGTGGAAGTGTGACGTATCGAGGCTGGATAGCGGAAATGGAGCAGTGTTTGGATTAGAATTCTCCAATTTGTACTTGGATTTGTGATCTAAGTGTTGTGTTGATTTTTGGTCTGATATTAACCCCCAGAAGTAATAAGTTTCTAAAACTTTCACCTTTAAAAAAGGTTTCTGATTCTTGAGAAAGAAAAAGTCATTTTCATTTCCAGATCTACTACCAAATGGTATGGTGTGCTGACCCAATAAAGATGGAGAGTTTTACTCGGTAAGTGAGGGTGACGACTTTTACCTGGGTAAGTGCTTACCGGGTAAATTGTTGAATACGATACCACTTTGATGTACTACAATCTTATCCGGTAAAATAAATCATGGTGTTGACTCATAAAATTAAACGTTTACCGGGTTAGTATTTAGGTAAACGACCCCTTAAATAATTCAGTTACAGTTAGAAATATAATTTGGAATCTTAAGATTTTTCCTATCCATTTGTCTAGCTCTAAAGTTGTTTATTTTCTAAAAAATTGGAGAAAGAATTATCAAGGGAAAAAATCATTTGTGAAAGCATCTATCTGTTAACTTTTAAGAAAGATGATGTCCTTTTACCATAGACTCTTGGATGATGGTTGGTGTAATCCGTTCACAAGAAGAACAACGTATCTGTGTGAAATCGATACCTGACAAGGAATCAATACCTGGTAGTAATTGGGTTACCTCGGGTTGGGTTTTTTTAGAATTTTTCGGGTTGGATTGATCGGGTTTTTGAGCACCTTTAGCTGATAACATGATTGAGACTCGTTATATCCTGGTTACATCGAATGATTTTTGTACTTGATTCATATAAGAGTTATTCAAATTTCAACTAAATCAGTTGTAAATTTGCTTGAGATATAATTAACGTCTATAGCATTTAAAAAATACACCATCTTTTTATAGTATTTATTTCACAATTGTTCGGTTTTTATGTATAAATTAATAACATATACACAATCATTCGGCTTTTATAATATTTTTTTTTTACTTTTAAAAAATAAGAATGGAAATTTCAAAAGTACTTAAAAACTAATATTTAGTCTCTTTATAATAAACAGCCAAGTTTTTAAAATCTATATATTTATTTTAATTTAACAGATTTTAAATCACTTTAAATATATGGAAAAAATCCAAAAAAACTCAATTGACTTTAATGTTTAAAATGATTAAGTCTTTGAATAATTTTTTAAAATAAATAAATCATTGGACATTCCAAAACATGTTAAATAACTTCTTAAACTTTCTAAAACATGTTAGATACATCTTTATAACATATACAACTGGTTAATGTAGTAAAATAATGGTATAAATCTGGAAAAAAACTAATGGACATTCATATTTTGAACAATTAAGTCCTTAAATATTTTTTGAACAAAAAAATTACTTATATCTATAAAATGAAATAAATATACCAAAAAAGTACTTACATTTATAAAAATATACTTACATTTAAAAAAGATTTTTAATAAAATTTATTTTAATTAAAATAAAATATATTCTGTCAGTGATTTTTAAATTAAAAAATAAAAAAAATTAAGATTATCGATTAATTTATTTTAATTAAAAATAAAATATGTCAAATATGTGATCTTTCAAATTCAAAAAGTATTTTTAATTAAAATAAATTCATCAGTAATAATTTCTAATTATATTTTATTTTTTTAATTTGAAAAATCATATACATAATATGTTTTGTTTTTATTAAAAATAAATATAATCAGTAATTTTTTTAAATTATTTTTTATTTTTTTAATTTGAAAATCACTAATATAATATTTTTCATTTTTAATTAAAATAAATTTTATCAATAATTTTTTTAAATATAAGTAATTTTTTGGTATATTTGTTTCATTTTATATATTTAAGTACTTTTTTTTGTTTAAAAAATATTTAGGGGCTTAATCGCTCAAAATATGAAAATCCATTGGGTTTTTTTTTCCAGGTTTTTTTCATTATTTTACCACGTTAATTAGTTTTATAAGTAATAAGAATGTATTTAACAGGTTTTAGAAAGTCTAAGAAGTTATTTAACAGGTTTTGGAATGTCCAAGGACTTATTTGTTTCAAAAAATTATCCAAGGACTTATTTGTTTCAAAAAATTGTCCAAAGATTTATTTGTTACAAAAAATTATCCAAAAACTTCACCATTCCAAACACTAAAGTCCACTTAATTTTTTTTAGATTTTTCCATGAATATAGTTACTTTTTTAGGGGGTGTTTGGGATTGGTTATAAAAACAACTTATTGACTTATTCCGGTATGGTACTGATAATAAACATTTTTGAATGTTTGGATAAACAACTTATACCGGTTTCAAATCGATAATAATTTTTTTTTAACAAAATTAAACCCAAACAGATATTTTATTCATGTTAATTTGTTCGGTCGTTTGCATCACTGCAAAATTTACGTACCTCGGTTGACGATTTGACTCAACACCACAATACCACCGGAGTCTGCCGGCAACGATGGTGGAGAGATTCTTCTCCGGCAACTCCCCCAGTTTACCCGATGATTCAATGATGCTCCTCTCCGGCCCTCCGTCCTCGTACTCTCTTTTCCCTTTTTTCCTTCTCACCAAGTGAAATTGGCTGAAATGTTGTGGTTGTTGCAGAGGGAAGACATCTCTGCTATTCCAGTTCGCCTTCAACACCGTCGTCAATTCCGACGATAAATCGGTTGTTTTCATTTGCAGTCGACGCAAATTAGATACGAAACCCCCTTTTCTCTCTCGGGTAACTTTTCGATTTATCAGTTCATATAGCGATTGATGAATTCATTACTCTTGCTCATCAAATTGCATCAAACGTTATGAACATTCCTTGTACAGGGCGTTGATCCATCGTCTCATGTATTTAATCGAATCCAAATGAAGTAAGCTTCTGTCGTTGCTATTACCAAAGTTTGAAACCCTAACGTTTTGTGATTTCGATTTATGATCTGATTCCCAGGTATGTGGAGGATGAGGAAGGGATCAACAAGTTTTTTGCTGCATTTCACATGCATGATGTGTTTCCTGCTTTGGTTATAATTGATGATCTTGGAGAATTTTGTGATGAAAGGTAGTCTTGATACAGTTTCTCAAAGATGATGAGTGTGAATCAGATTGAACAATTTTACCTGAAAAATAAGTGTCGTTTAATAAACGTTTAACCTGGTAAGCGCTTACCGGCAAGAGTCATCATTCTCGCTTATTTTATCGTGTAACATTCTTGGCAATAAAATGGATTGTTGGTAAGCTATCTTTTACTCGGTAAGCCCTTATCGAGTAAGGGGCCGTTTACCAAATATTTACCCAGTAAGTGTTTATCGGTAAAATTTAATACTATTATTTACTTAGCAGGTTTAGTCCACTAAAATGACATCGCATGCAACAATTTACCCGGTAAGCGCTTACCATGGTAAGAGTCGTCGCCCTCACTTATTGGGTAAGACTCTTGGTCCTTGTCTTGCTCTTACCGCGTAAGATTCTTGGTCCTTACCATATTCATTTATGAGGTAATGTGACTTGGTAAGCGCTTACCCGGGTAAGCATTTGGTAAGCGGCCCTTCCCTCACAGGATAAGATTATTGGTACTTGCTATGCCTCTTATTGGTAAGGTTTTTCTGTCTTTGCCATTTTTGTCATGCTCACTCGTTAAGGTAAATGACAGTCGATAAGCATTTAATAAACGGCCTCAAGTCAATTGTACCTGAAGTATTTCTTTTGTGCTTTTTATCTAGGTAGATTCTTGGCTTATTTTACATATTAGTCATCTGTTATCCCTTTCTGTTTTAATGATGTTAAATAAACATTTTTTGGGTTTTTTGTCGGGTCGTCTCGAAAACAACATTTCTGTCTTTTTGGGATTTGGGTAAGGTTTTATACATCTTTATCTCCCGACCCTACCTCCGAGTGGGATATTGAGTTTGTTTAGTTTTTAACGGAACATAGAGATCAAATTAGAAAAAATTACCAGGAGATCCCAGGTTCAAATCTGAGGAGGAATAAAAATCCCCTTGTGGCTACGGAGGTTCAAATGCGGTGACTCCGGACTATCTGCAAAGCAGGTGGTCGCCCTGGGATTAGTCGGCTCGCATAGCGGGTTGAATATCCAGGTTAATAAAAAAAATATAGAAAAAATTAGCCAAAAAGGGGAAATTGGTATCTTCTATGGATAAACCAAACCGAGCTCGCTCAGTGAGTCACATTTGGAACCAGGGGCAGGGAGGTATGGGATGCATTTTGACTTGACCTCTACCCAAAATCGTTGTTCTACTAATAGATATAGCGGTCGCTACCCAAGCAACCCGATGCTCCTATTTTGCTTCTTATGATGTGGATGTTATGTTTCGCCATGTTGACATTTTCTTATTATGTAACGAAGAACTTGCCGACAAAAATACTCAAGTCCTCGCGGAAGAGAGTTGGCAATAGTTCGAACATTAGCTTTGTGTCGCAATGCGATTGATCACGCCAAGTAAGCGAAGTTTATGTTGTTCGCTAAAAAGCAAAGCCTTTCATACAACTGATTTGAAGCCAGTGAAACAGGGTCTTGTATGCTTCTCTTCTCTGATACTCACCATGGTGACACCCCTAGATTGCTCTACATTTACAAGAGATGGGTCAACTCTATTTACACTATCAAAGGTGGGTTTGGTCTACAAAGTGTTCTCTTTGTTTATCTTTTTGCAAGCCAGAAGTTTCCACGGAAACAACCTCTCTACCCTTTGGGTGAAGGCAAGGTCTACCTCTACTTAGGATTGGTGACCGTGGGTGTCTGGGTCAGTTTGTCAGTTGAGTTGACCCTCAAGGATTATTGGGTTAATTTGGTTTGGTTTTTTGATTTTTGGGCTAGGGGCCGTTTGCGCAAATGCTTACCCGGTAAGCGCTTACCAATAGGAGTTAACACTATAATTTGTTTTGATGCATAAGAATTTAGTACATCAAAACATATCGAATGCAACAATTTGCTGGGTAAGAGTCGCCATCCTCACTTACCGGGCAAGACTCTCCATCATTCTCATCGCTCTTACCCGGTAAGATTCTTGGCCCTTCTCATGTTCATCTAATGAGGAAATTTATGACGTTAAACACTTACCAAGTAAGTGTTTAGTAAACGGCCCTTAGTTTGGTTTGGTTTTTTGATTTTGTGCTCAAGTTTTTGAAATGTGTGGGTGGGTGGCAGGTGATGGACTTGGGTCATTCATTCTGAAGAACAGCAGCTTCCCAGCAGCAGCTTCTTGTGGGTTTGAAATGGTGACAAAAAGGAGTGCTAAATACTCCATTGCACTTCAATATTTAGTTTTGGAAGAGATCTATGAAGATGATGAACAAAGGTACCATCTTTAGATCTGAATCTTGAGATAAATTCATGTTAATCTGGTCTTGATTCATGTTATCTGCATTACTCAACGTGGTCTTACATGGCTTTGGTTCGTGTTAGATCATCTTGATCGATTTATGAGTTTAGCGTAAATGGTAAACCTGTACTGATTTACTGATACGAAATGGTTGCCGAAGCAATGGCTTATTTGATTTTTGCTTGATGAGTTCAGTGGCTTATCTGTTTGGTCATCTGAGTAGTATTTGTTTTCTTTTAACTTAATTTTTAAGAAATGGATGAAAATGACTGAATTAAAAATGTGTCATTGAGTAACTATTGTTTATATTCAGGGCCTTTTTACCAAATTATCTATTATGTCCTGCTGTCTGGATAAATTTGTTTGTCTGAATAAATTTGTCTGTTTGGATAAATTGGTGTTGTTTACTTCTTTATCTGAATCAACAGTCACGGTGACATAAATGAGAGATTTAGTGTTAGATAAATTGATGTTTATTTTTTAAGCCAAATGATATTTCTAAAACATAAAAGTGCCTTTTTTTTATTAACCTGGATATTCAACCCGCTATGCGAGCCGACTAATCTCAGGACGACCACCTGTTTTGCGGGTAGCCAAGAGTCACCGCATTTGAACCTCCGTGGCTATAAAGGGATTTTTATTTCTCCTTGGATTTGAACCTGAGACCTCCTGGCAATTTTGACTTTTGGAGCCTCAAGCTCAACCAATTAAGCACCACCCTTGAGCCTTCAAGTTGTTGATAACATTCGGTAACAAAGAAAAAGGAAATCGATATGTAAACATCAATGTAGAAGCTGCCATGGAAGCAAGAAATTGGTATCATCAATGTAGCAAAAATAAAAAATAGAAGTGAAAATCAAAATAATCAATGTAACAAAATTGATATCATACACCCCATAGAAGAAGAAATCGATGTAGAAAAAGAGAGAAAAATACAGCAGCTAGGGTTTTGAAGTTCTCCGGTCGTAGCTATAACCACCCTCTTGCTGGCTCGACAGTCGTCGGAGAAAGAGAGAAAAAGAAACAGCGGGTAGGGTTTGAAGGTCGCCGATCACAGCTACCATCCTCGTTTGGCTCGCCGGTTGCCGGAAAGGGTCTCCTGTCACAGGGCTAGCCGGTTGTCGGAAAGAAGATTGAAATCGACGGTGTGTGAAACACTACACATGTTCAAATCTCAGTTTTCTCCAATAAACCTCAAATCAAAAGGAATTTAATTTAATACAAAAAATATGCATCATCATATAATAATTAATAAATCGAAAACCAAAAGAAATTAAATTTAATGTAAAAAAATTAACGTCGCATGTACCAAAACATATTGAGTAGAATCCAAAAAGTATATATGTGAGTCCGTGGCGGGGCAGGAAGTGCGACCCGTCCTCGTCTCCATCCCGGGTTTGAGCCAAACGGGGATCCCGTCCCCGAGACCCAGTTTAACAAGGAATCCCCGTACCCTATCAGAGCGGGTGGACCGGGTTCTCCCGAGGGGTCGGGCCAATTCCCATGCCTAAGTATAAGGGGTGGGGATGTCTTTTTTTTTTTTTTTTTTTTGGCTAAATGGAGACAACACAACATAACATATCCATCTGTTCGATTAACTCACTCTATGTGCAAATAAGCCGTAAGTAAACAATCTAAAAGAGTTGTACGAATAAGCCAATTACATTATATAGCTCATTAAGTCACAAGTAAACACCCTCTCAGTCCCTTATTCCTTGACATTTCTTGATAGGAAAAAAATAAAGTTGCTTGTAAATATCGTAGGAAGCTAAAACATAAAATGAGTAGCGAGTAGGTAATAGATTATGGTACAGAATGAGTTGTTTGGAGGAAGGGACCTAGTTTTTTTTTTCCCAGATGGTAGCACAATTTGATTATAAAAGCCGAAGTTATAAATATTTAAAAAAAATCATCATTGGTCCATTGGTTAATTTTTTTTTGATTAACCTGGATATCCAACCTACTATGCGAGCCGACTAATCCCAAGGCGATCACCTGCTTTGCAGATAGCCCGAAGTCAACGTATTTTAACCTCCATGGCCATAAGGGGATTTTTATTCCTCCTTGGATTTGAACCTCCATGGCCACAAGGGGATTTTTATCCTCCTTGGATTTGAACATGGGATTTCCTGGTACTTTTAACATTTGAAGTCAAGCTCAAACCACTCAGGCACCACCATTGTGGTTCTATTGGTTAATTTATTGTTTTTTGTATATGGGGTTTTTTGTTCGAGTCTCTTATACCAAATTTCTTCAAAAACATAATAAGCCTAAAATTAAAATCTAAAAGTTAAAAACTAAAAAAATGATATAAATGAGATTCAGACCTACACCTAGAAAGAGGGGGGGGGGGGACCCATGCATATACACTCTATCAAGAAAAACTTGTGTTATTATTGTAGTTTTAGGGAATATACTGTTGCACCCAACAAAATAATGCAGTGGCAACTTTTACAACCCTAAATTTTTTACACTACAACGAATGAACGAAGTAGTGGGTCCAAAGGTGCAGAGGGTATGTAAGTTTATTTGTTGTATTTGTCGTATATAAATATTATGCACCATAGTGGCTCCACTCCTGCCACACTGGTCCCTAAGAAGTACAACTAACCAAGCATTGGATTAAAATCAAGACCAAAAGCCAACATGCTTGTTTTTTATCTTTGGTACAATGGCCTCATATCCAACTACAAAACCAAGAAATGTAATCGTAGCTTTCGAAACTCCCTTTCCTGCTCTGCATCTGCCCAATTAGATCATGCTCGATACCTGCAATACGGTTATCATTAGTTTGTGCAACCAAAGAAAGTGTAACCGACAACGCCCCACCCGAGGAGCATACTGGGAGAGGCAAATCAGGTAAACAGTGGTCTGCTAGGTGGCTAGTTTGGGAGTCGAGTGCCCACAAGGAGCTCAATCCCCAAAAGAACTGCAACTCTCATACTGCAGTTTCTAGACTCGAACCTTCATCTGTTTGTGCAGGTATACCACCTGGAACCAACTGTCCTATGCCATGGGGGCAAGTTTATCATTAGTTCTCAAATCCACCCTATCAACCGCCCCCCACCCCCAAAGGAAAAAGAGAATCACCCTTACTATTAAAATGATTTACTGGGGTCGTTTAGTTTGGTTACCCTTAAAAGATCTTGTATATATGTAAGGGTGTGGCAGCGGCTTACCGGAACACATGACAGTTTCACTTTCTGTACAGTATATCATAATGACCAGGTCGATATAACAAGACAATGAACGGGTTCGTTTCAGAGCCACTCCCACTAGTCATATCAGTAGGGGCATCACCTGAGACTGGAACAAAGTCATGATGATTCACACTGACATTCCCCGTATCACATGAGCTACGATCAAGATATACAACACGAATCGGTACACCCATTGCATCAGACAAGGCTGTAATGTGAACATGATCGCTTTCTTCACCCATGGGTTCCACTGATGTCTTGCAAAACTACAAGCGTAAAAAGTAGTTCCATAAGAAAAAATTATGCATGTTAAGATATATGGAACCCTTTTGAATCTCTATAAAAGAGCCCTTATAGAGAAAGAGCAACTTCCTACATATATAGCATGTTTCAAATACATGTTCTATTGTTACAACCGATACAAACCTAATGAATTGATATATTTATGGAAATGATGATGGTTCATTTATTATGATTTGGATATTTATGGAAGATGGTTAAAGTTCATTAATTGTGATCAATATTTTATATTAGGAAACAGTAGAGATATTTATGGACAATTATCATATGATCCATTAACTATGATTGAGATATATATGAAAGATGATAAGGTTAATTAATTATGATCATGGCTTTAGATTAGAAAACAAAATGAAGTTAGATCTTTATAGAGTTGGGTTTAAATGAGAGCCGATGGTACCTATTTAAGAGAATAAGAAAACAGTCGAATCGCATATGATTTTACACTAACATCACGTACAAAATCACATGTGATTCACATGACTTTGCCCCGCGACCTAAAGACGCGGCCAAAGTCGTCTTAGGTCGCGGAGCAAAGTCGCCCGGACACCCTTTTTTTTACCATTAATGTAAAGATCACATGTGCTTTTGCACATGATTTGGCCGTTTTCATATTCTCATAAATAGTTAGCATTCTCGTTTGATCCTCCCTCAATATATATACATATAGGTTTTATGGTCCGTGTTCAGCCGACATGAGACTCCAACAATGCACAAACAAAATCAAGAAAATGAACTTGCAAGTTGCAAGTCAAATGGAGTTCTTGGTGTCAAACAAACCTGCTCTACGGTTGTATTTGTCAAACCAAGTATGAATGGTTCAAAGAATTCTGAGCGCTTCTTTATTTCCCCAGAGGTAACGAATCTGAAAAACATTACAACTGCATAGTAACCTCTGTTAGAAGTTATTAAAGAGTTTCAGCAAAGAGGCCCAATCATTACTACCTGCTTCCCAAAAATAAATATCCACACCAAAAAAGCACAGTTTTAGAAATGTATAATTATTACACTATTTAATTATCTTAAAGACAATTTTACCCTTCATAAAAATTCTCAAATCTCAATTATTGATGTATTATGATTAAGGGTAGAATTGGAAATTTAGTAAATTAGAACCATTTATTTTTAACCAATGGTATCTGGGTTACTGGTAGATCCCAACCTCCTTCGAGATCAAGGGTACAAGCCTCAACAAAGGTGAAGAGTGTGTGTGTATTGTTGTGTATTAATATTATATACTTAAAAAACTATCCATTTTAAAGTAGACGCTTATTTTGGGACCAAAAGTATAGATACTTGTTTTGGGACCAAAAATGTATAATGTTTTGGGACCAAAAATGTAGAATATTTTGGGACAAAGGGAGTATATGATTGGTAAGTGGTAAATAAGATGGGTATAACTTCCTCCGGAAGTGGCATGACTCACCATAATCGGATACCGACTGATCACGGCTTCTCACTATAAGTTCATCATGACTGGAAAAAAAAAAAGAATAATGACATCAGGCCTTATCAAATGCTCTTCAATCTACACTTCTATATTCAGATAATAGGCATTTCAGTTGATTTTTCTTTAATGAAAGTTGAAGTCTGAAAACAATTCAGTCTCCAAACCTTATAGAATCTTCATTCCCTTGAAGAACACTTTCCAGCTGCTCGATAAACAACTGTTTGGCACAAGTTCTATAATTACAAAGTAGAGGTACAAAAACACAGAAGATACAATACAGCACAAAAAAAGACAGAAATCATCAATGGTCTTAAAATATAGCAGGCTCTCATATGTTGAACAAGTTGAAAAAATGAAAGCACAAGTAACAAGTAAATGAAATACATGGGAAAAGTGGGGGGGGGGGGGGGGATAACATGACTACAAATTCTATTCGATTAATTTCTACATTAAAAATAGTTCTTCGTTAAGTCCCATGATGCCTCAATTAGGGAGATGATATGCATACATTCTCTTCGTACAATATCTATAACCAATACAGGAAGTCTACTGGCAAAGAATTTACCATTGTAGTGATGAAAATTATATTTCGAATTTAGATTGTTTGGAATCTAAACAAATAATGCAAAAATCCAGTAAGCAGTAACCAAGAGGCTGGGAAGCAACAAAGGGAATTCTTTTCCTTGATGGACAATGATGTAGACTGTAGACTATAATTGGCATGTAAAAATAAAAACAAGACAAAGCTTAAACTTAAATATGAGTTATTGATACTCTCACTACCCTTCTTACTGTACGGAAGGGGAGATTGGAGAGGTATGGGGTTAGTCAGGGGAGGGGTAGAGAGCTGGTAGATAGATTACATGAGGCCTACGTTAGATAGAGAGATGCTTAGGTTTTTCATATGTTTCATGTGTATTAATGTTCCTACTTGTGTACCCTTTTTACTGAATATTGTATGCTAGGCTTAGTTTTGGTTTAATTGGTTTCGTTTATTGTATACTAGTCTTAATTTTTCTCCCTGTCCAAGTGGTTGCTAGTACTGCGCTTTGTGTTTTCTTGATTGTTTTAGCCTTTCTCTCACTTTTGTCGCTGCTGTCTTTTCTGTTTTCTGTACCCGATGCTTGTTTGCACACTCTTTTGCAATTTTCTCACCTATTGCTTGCATGCTGAATCCTTTTAAATTTTGATTACAAGCCATAGGTCTTCAGTGAAACAGAGTCTATACCCCTTTGGATAGAGGAAAGGTCGTTGTACATCCTACCCACCCCCCCCCACCCCCCCTCAACCTCCAAGTGGATATACAGGGTTCATGTGGTTTGGTTTATACTCTCACTACCAAAATAAATGCAAACTTTGCTTTAGAACATAGTTCAATCGAATGTTTGACTATAAGTCAAACATCTGAAGTACTTATCATTTATCAATAAAGACAAAAACAATGAATCTTGTGAATCACAAGACTAATGTTATTTTGTAATAGTTGCTAATCGCCAGAGGTGGATCCAGGGATTTCAACTTGGGGATGCACTAACATAACAGAAGTAAATTGGGTATGCACAATTTATGATAATTCTTGAAGACTACAGATTTCTTTTTCCATGTATGCACATGCATATCTGATATGCTTAATCAATCTGCCCATGCTAACCTACATTGGGTCCTAGAGAATTTAGATATAAAACTTCGCCAAAAAGGGAGGTCTTGTGTTTACTTGGGACGTCTTGGGAAGGAAATTGTTGCTTGATTATGTTGATACACACAAGGCTTAGCATCCACCATTCACGGTTAGGACTACTAGGGTATCTAATCCCATTTGCTCGCATAGCTTTCATCTTTCACTATTTGATATTAGCTCAGTATATTGGAACAATTATTCAATATATTTTGATATTGAAAATCATATTTTTGTGATCGATAATGCATTTGCCGCTGGTATTCTTTCCATTATCTATGCCTTTCATTGCTCCAATTTCGACGTTGTTTCAAATTCTGAACATTTGAGTACCATACATGTATTGTTTTATGTAGTCTATATTATTCCACTATAAGACATTAACATTCGTTATTTTTCGTTTTCCTTATTATATACTTGATGCATGAATTTTGAAGATAATTTCTTTCTTTTACTAGTCAGGTTTTTTTGCTATCATATACATAAATGCATCAGAAATCTTCTGTTACAGACTTATAGTGCACTGTGCATTGTTGCAACACAATCTATCACACAATAAACAACCACAGCACAACCACGCAACACAATTACACGAATATATATTTGTTAACGCAGTCCAATGTACCACACCTACTCAAACCAATAGAGAATGATGCTCTTCAATGGTCTAAAGGTGATTTGCCCTATTATGGTTTGCCAATGGGCTATGCCACTATAATGGTGCGACAGTGGTGCTATCGCGCTTACTGATAATGGGACAAATAGTGGTGGTCAAATAGCATCTGAAATAGTGATTCCGCGATTAGCGTCACAATTGACCGCTAAATGACCACATTTTGAATGCAAAAAAGCAGCCGCATAACCACTATTTGTAGATATACTCTTTTGGTGTTAGAAAAGTAATTTTGTGGGCTTTTATTTAGGACTTGCATTCGGTTTTATTTTAGTCCAATAATATCAAGACTTCATTATTCTTATTTTTTGGACCAGGACGCCATTATTTTTAGTTTTTTGAACTTGGACACCATTATTCTTATTTTTTTGGATTTGGACACCATCACTTTGACATCGTGATTTAAATAAAAGTATTCACATTGTTCAACTATTTTTATTTGGACTTGGACCTCATTATTCTTATATAATTTTTATTGAATACATAAAATATGTTGAGTTATGTACGCATATATATATAATTCTAATTATTATATGAACGGCTATTTTTGACCGCTATACCACCACTTTACCATCGCGGCAACCGATGTTTCAAATCATGGTCCTGACCGCGATTTCATATTTTGACTGCTGTAACAACATAGCCAATGGGCAGATAAGAAAAGATAAAAAAAAAGATAGACCAGAAGTAAAGAAGGCTGTAGTATTTGGATGTACAAATGACACAACTTGTGTCAGATGTTCGTCAATGCCAACATTGCTGTGGGTTTCTGTTTGCCCCCCTGCTTATTGTAGGGCCCACATGTGGCTGAGGTATATGCCAAGTCCTACATGATTTCTGGCACAGTTCCATCTGCTTATAATCTCTCTTCTCCTAGAAGTCAAGTCTCTTTAACAGATTATGGATGCCTCAGCCATTCTGCTCAAGATTTTGGACAATGGGGAGTCCATCTCCATCCATTACTCAAGTATTTGGCAAATGTACTTATATATTGCCAATTGCCATCATTGTCAAGTTCATAGGAAAGAAAAGATTTATTACCTACCAGCTAGCAAGTTCACATATGAGACAATTGGGCATGGAGTGATGGAGTGATAAATCCTACTCATTGTAATATTCTAGTTTGACAATGTTCCCAGATTCAAACTACGTTAACTTAGGATCTTAGTCAGACAAAAATTTCAACAAACAAAATGTTTATATCACAATCAAGACCAGAAACAGGTTGCTAGGTTTATTGGTAGAGGTGAGTTAGTACTATATAAATCTTATTGCTAATAGTTTAGTTATGAGGTATTGCATCTCAATGATTTTGTTATGACAACCAAGATGCAAAATGTCGTTGCTGTTCTTAGCCAGCATCCAAAGGAAATTGTCCTTTTCTTGAAATTGCTTAACAAATTGCACTTGTAAACAAAATAGTAGTTTGTGACTTTGTGTGTGTATGAGGAAATGTTTTTTATGACGAAAGCATAATTGTGAAGTCAATTTGGGCTGCATTTGAATATAATTGTCACTTAGGAGTCTCTACACTACCTGAGTGGAGAGAGTACCTCCTAGAGATGTCATTTAGGAGTTTCTACAATACCTGAGTGGGACTTCTTGGAAGCAGCTTCTATGTCTCGTGGGACAGAGCTAAGGTCTGTATACATCTTCCCCTCCCCTCCCCTCACACACATCCTACCTCTGGATGGGATATACCGGGTTTGTTTAGTTTGGTATGGTTTAAACTACATGACTGGCTTTATGTTAACGATAGCTTCACTGTGAAGCCAATTTGGCTGCATTAATATATCTTGATTCCACATCCATCCTCAGTCCTCACTCAATCCAAATATGTGTCATGAAAGATCATTTATAGGAGCCTTTAGCCTATGTCTAGTAGACTAACTTATGAGTCATCAGAAAAGAATGTAACAAATCTGGACGAACCGCTTACTGAGAAAAAATCTTCAAACGTGAAGTCAGCATAACCTAAACTCTGAAGTGTCTTTCTGCATTTCTCCACATTGGTTTTGATGCGCTCAACCTCTGCTTGGTCTTGTGATTCGATAATGTGTTCCTTACATGTGCAAAAAGCAAATAACAAAACTTAAAATTAGATGCAAATATCTCACCAAGCAGTGTAGATATTTAGAAAAGGTTGTTTAGAATGAATACAACATACAAGGTATGAGAACATAAAACTCCGATAGAAACAGTTCCCATCTCCACGTGTTCGTCTGATGGCAGCATATTGTTTGCTCAGTACCTGCATAAAAGTGTTCAGACAGTGAAATGCAAATGTGGATACTTCATAAGAGAAAGATTAACATGGAAGACAAAGCAAACCTTTATTTTCTCCAGTAAAATGGGGCTTCCAGACTTGTACTCATTTGCTAACGAAGAGAGAGGTTCCTGCAGTGACATAAAATAAATGTTAATCTAAAAAACATTATGGCCTAACTGAAGCATAACAACATGAGTGAGAAGATGAGAACTCTAAAAGACCAAAAGGGAGGAGGGTGTGTGAGTTTATTTGTTGCATTGGCCATATATAAATGTTATATACTACAAAAAAACTAACTCTAAAGGACTAAATAACCCTTGAGCCAAACAAGCTAAAGCCACTAGCACACTAACACAACATGCATATAGGAAAGTAACATAAACTATGACTAGCACAATGGAGAGATCTGGCTGAGGCAGTAGAGAACCCCCAAATAAGAATTCAGCCAAGAGTTCTACATAAAGTCAGCCAACTGGGATGCAAGTGTTCCTGGCAAGCTCAAAGGAGCCTTTAACTGGTTGTCACGTTATACCATCCAATGTGGGAGCAGTTGACACATTATAAGAAGCCAAAGGAGGAAGCAAGAGTTGCAGTTTGACGACTCAAATTACCAGGCACGTTAGAATCCCACATCGGCTAGACTTGAACCATTTCTCCTCGATACATGTTGGAGCCTCCCTTCTCTCATCAAGGGATCTTTTGGAGAGTAATCTAAAGGGGTGTCACACTCACATATCTCACATGGCAAGATTTACATGCCAAACCAGTGTGCGTAAGTTTTCCATCCATAGCAGAAAAGAAAGATTCTGAATAGATGCAATCATGCAAGCAAGCTATTGGATCAATCATCCCGGAAGCACTAGTTTGGTATGACTGTTTGCCCAGTAACATTAACCCAACTTATGAAGATGGTCAATTCCAATTATTGGGGGATGAATGCATATGTTATCATAGAATTTTTTGGTTAAGAAGAAAGAATGTTTGCTCTCCCCAATCATAATACAGGCCAAAGAGAGCAAATGCATCATTATGCCATACAAACCATGTTCAATATAGTCAATTTATCACTTCAAGGTAAAAGCTCAACGCCTTGTGACCTAAACCACCACCAACTCATGAACTTCAAATGCATAGGTTACTTTGCCCAAAAAGAAAAATTTTCATATACAAAAACAGAGGAAAGAAGCAATACACATGTTCAATTCAATACATTAGGTATGCACCAATAACAGAATTTAACTTCTAATCAAATACTGCCCTGTGGAATAATAACAAGATAAAAACTAGGATAATGACGTTCAAAAATGGCTGTGGACATGGAAATAAATTTGTTTATTAACTGGTTTAGGGTTTGAAGCATTATTTTTCTCTTACCTTATCACCAACAAACGGAAATTTGGCTGCATCCTGTTCCAGTATTGCAGAGTGTTGTTGCATAACATCACTGTCCTTGTAATTGGACCAATCATCGGCTTCATAAGCTGTGTTGAATGTTGTCGACTCCTCCTCCTTCACCTTCACCTTCTCCACTTCCACCGAGATCTCTTCCTGGTTCTGCATTTTTTTCAACTCTAATAATTGGATGAGATCCCAGAATCGGGTAAACCAACAAGGAGGAATAGGTTATATCTGCCCTAGTGTGAATCGAATGCTTCTTCAATGGCAGCTTAAAAGGGCAATCAATCAAATAATTGCCAGAATAGGCAAGACATGAAATTGGGAAAGTCCAAAAGTGTTCGAGGGCGGTCAATGAATGACGATGAAGCTGACGACGACCACGTCAGCTCATCCAACTAAACTATGATTTTACTGTCAATAGTTCCGTTAAAAACAACCTTTGAACGGATTAATAGTTCCATTAAGACGATCTTTGAATCATTAAGAGGTGAATTTTGTTTGGTAAAAATAAATTGTTTCCTAATAATTTTAAAATTATCTGAATGATTTTGCATCATTGGTCTCTTTTAACCATTCAATGCCATAATTTCATTGTAAACAATCACCAAACAATTATATTTCATTTTGTACTATATCATGGGAGTCTCTTAATCATTTTAACTACTAAATTATTCTGCACCAAATCATTCAGTAACTATCAAAACAGTCCATTGGTATTCCGTTGATATCAAAGGAAAAGTTGTTTATGACTGACATAGGCTTGTTTGGTTGGTTTCTATTAAATTTTGTATCAATCAAATTTTCTTAAGTATAAACTTATTAAATATGTCACTTTTCAATATCATTATATTTCTATCAAACAGTTATGTATAACTAACCGAATAAGTTATAAGTTTTATTAAGCTCATTAAGCTACTAATAAACATGCCTTAAATGTACCTCTATAGAATTTCATTTAACTTTACCAGGTTCTCTATTTTAAAAATTATAGTTATATTATAAAAAAATATACATATAATAAAATATTATTTCTCTTATAAACATTTAGCATCAAATATCTTATTGGTGAAAATATAATAAAAATTTGTTTCTATAATCATTTTTTTGAGAGTTCTCTAAATTTAAAGAACTTAACGGTCTCTCTCATACATTTAACTAGTGTTCGACACCGTTTGTTGCAAAATAAGTACTACAATAATCACAACTTTTGTTACAAAAAAAAATGTATCATTTGCATTTGATTTGCACAAAAAATTTATTAATTAGTTGGTTTTGATTTCAACCACTGTTTTAGATTTCAAAGTTTCATCACTTTTATACATCCATCATCATCTTTCAAACTGTCATCTGTCTACCAACGTGAGATGATAAAAGTCAACCTTATTTTAGATTTAAAGAACACTCAAACCTCATATTGTCAAGTCATCATTCTTGGTTTCACTTTTATATTTGCATTATAATTTTTACCATTTGATTGGTTTTGATTTGATTCCAACCATGATTATGAATTTTAAAGAGGGTCATCCAAAATAAGACAACTCTACGATGCAAACCCTATGAATTGACACAAAGACATCTAATCCACCTTTGTTATACATTTCTCTTTGTTCAAATCTTTCAACTCTTCATCAATGTGAGACAACTAAAACTTAACCACAATTCATCATTTGGAAATACTTAATTCTCATGGTACCACCATAATATCCCAAGGTTTTCCTTTTATATATGTAAAGATATTTTGATGAAAATTTTAAAAAATCTATTGAAATAAAATTTGCAGGCAATCAGCTACGCAAATCAACATTTATTGTTAATGGACAGTTTAATTTAATTTGATTTTCATTTATATAGCAAATTCTTAAAAGAATTAAATACACACCTGCATATATTAGAAGGGTACTCGCACAATACAACGAGATACATCTCAATTTTTATTTTTTTTTGTCTCTGTCGATGTTATAATACGGTTTTATGTGATTTTGAGAAAACGATAATGGTTTTATTTTTTTTAATAAAATAAAAATATAAAGATATATTATAAAAAATTAAAAATATATATATTTATATTAGTACCAAACTAACTATTTAATTTTTTTTTTGTATATTTCTTTAATTCAATTTATTTTATCTTTGGTTTAATAATATAATTTTTCATGAAGATAATAATTAAGTATTTTGTTAGAACTTAATGATTATCCGAATTATATTTTAGATTTTTTTATATTTAAAATGAGATGTTTATTCTTTATTTGATTATGTTTATCCGCAGTTAATTACACGAATTCAAACATAAAGTTTTAATAAGTTGTACTTACGCATAATTTACTTGTAATCTTGAATTTTAAGTAATATGCATCAATAAACAGTACTTCATGCATAAAAAATGGTTTTTAAGAGTTTTTGTCAAATACTTTATAATATAACTAGAAAGATATTCGCGTAATGCAACGAGATACATCTTCATTTTAATGTTTCGTTTTTTTTTTGTTGATATAATATTACTTCTGTGGTTTTGAAAAAAGACAATGTTTTTACTTTTGAATAAAAATAAATTTGAAGATTTCATAAAAATTTGAAAAATACTTAGGGGCTGTTTGGATTCCTCTTAATGGTGACATTAAGAGGTCTCCTCTTAATCGGTCAGATGTAAAACATGTTTGGCAAAAAAAAATGCCCTCTTAATGGTGACACAAACCTCTTAACCATTTTGAGGATAGATGTTCACTAAACCATTCAGATTACCATTATTCCCTCTTTACCCTTCCACTTTGGCCGCTCCCATCGTCTCCCCCAACCATCGCCTCCATCTTCGCCGTGAGAACCAAAGGTTTCCCCCTTCCTCAGCAAGCTCCTTCGCCGTCGCCGTCGCCGGTCGGTCGCGCCTTCCTCAGCAAGCTCCTTCGCCGTCGCCGCCTTCCTCAGCAAGCTCCTTCGCCGTCGCCGCCTTCCTCAGCAAGCTCGGTCGCGATTTCCCCCTTCCACAGCCTCGTCGCCTTCCACAGCCTCACGTCGCCGTCGCCGTCGCCGCTCGTCGCCTTCCACAGCCTCGTCACCTTCCACAGCCTCACATTGCCGTTGCCGTCGCCGTCGCCGATCCTGTCTAGGGTTTGCATCTCAGTCACTGCTGCGTCCTCTCCTGTCTAGGGTTTGGTTTAGGGTAGCATTTTTCTTTGGAAATTGATTGTGTTTATTGCTAATTTCATGTTTGTAACAATGTTAATGATGATTGGATTACCTATATTTTGCAATTTCTTGAGGATTTGTGATCTTGATATGAAGAACAACATCTTTTTTTTCTAAAAAAATGTTTAGAATTGATTGTATTTCTTGAGGGTTAAAATGGTAATTTGCTGTCATTCAGAAAACAATTACCAAACAACTTTGTTTCATTCAGCACTTAACCATTCTGACCCTCTTAGCCATTCTAACATCTTAACTATTCTGAACTAAATCATTCAGCAACTGCCAAACAGCCCCTTAGTTATTAATATCAAATTAACTATTTAAAAGCATTTTTTTGTATAATTTCTTTAATTTAATTTTTTATTATAATTTAATTTAGGTCTAATAACGAAGTAATTTATTTTTGATCCAATATAATTTTTTATAAAAATAATGATTATGTTAAAATTCGATAATTATTCTAATTATATTTTAGATTTTTTATATTTTAAAATAACATGCTAAATCTTTTTCTCCATATGAGTTCTCCATTCTTTTTCGTACTTCAAATTCTTACCTTCTCGGGGTGTGATTAGTTTGCACACACTTCCACACAGCCAGGCAAGAAATCAAATTTCTGGGTTTAACCAAAGGACTTGCCTTCTTCACATAATGTTCAATCTAAAAGCATTTGGGCAAATCCTTGAATGAGGATTCAGTAGCTATGCGTCTGATTCACCATGCCTTCATGGCCTTATTATCTTATGTTCTATCGCAATCCCCACTTCATGTGCCCTCGAAATACCATCATAAGGACGACCCTGCTTCAATTTCATTCAAATTCTCATCTTTTTGATGTCACACAACTAATCCCACCTAAACCAACCAACGAATTTTCCGTGCGGATCGATCATGCTACGGTAATTAAGAACGGTTCTATTCAGCAGTTGCATGTGAGCAACTATTTGTTGAACTTGTACGTGAAGTCCACTAATTTAATGTTTGCCCACAGAATGTTTGATGAAATGCCTGAGAGAGATGTACGATCTTGGACTATCCTTATTTCTGGGTTTTCTCGAAATGGGTCGTACAAGCTGGCGTTAGATTTATTTAGCCGGATGCAAAAAGAAAGTATTACCCCGAATCAGTTCACATTTTCGGCTGTTTTCAAGTGTTGTGCAAGTGCAAACGAGCTTAATATGGGTAAAACGATTCTTGGGTGGATATTGAGAAATGGGGTTTGTTTCGATACAACATTGAAGAATTCTGTACTTGATTTTTATGTGAAATGTGAGGCTTTTGATTATGCTGGAAAGTTCTTTGAGTTGATGAGTGTTAAAGATACTGTCTCATGGAATATAATGATCAGTGCATACTTGAAGAATGGAGATATGGAGAAAGCTGAGGAATTCTTTAGGCGATTACCCATAAAAAATGCAGCAAGTTGGAACACCATCATTGACGGATATCTTCAAAATGGGCGTCCACAAATCGCGTTGCAGCTTCTTTACGAGATGGTGACAAAAGGTCCATCTTTTACACACATTACGTTCTCGATATCATTGATATTGGCATCTTCTTTGCATCATCTTGAATTAGGAAAGCAGATTCATGGTCAATTTTTGAGAGTTGGAATACACGATCCATTTATCAAGAATTCACTTCTTGATATGTACTGCAAATGTGGTGAAATAGACAAGGCAAGTATCGTTTTCAAAACTGATCAATCTCATGGTGAATCACTTGCCACATCTGTGTCTCTAAGTTCGATGATTAGTGGGTACATTCAAAACGGTAAAATAGAGGATGGTCTGAAAGTTTTTAGCTTTATGGTAAACAATCAGCGTGAAATAGACAAGTTCACCCTTGCAGCTGTGCTTTCAGCCTGTGCTGATTCTGGGCTTCTGGAACTTGGTCAACTTATACATACATATATATTCAAAACCGGCCATCAACCTGATGTCTTTATAAGTTCATCGATGATAAAAATGTACGCCAAATGTGGCAGGTTACAATGTTCTTGGTCAATCTTCAAAGAATCCAAGACCCGAAATATTGTCTCATACACTGCAGCAATATGTAACTTTGCATCACACGGTGAAG